TTCTTCATCAAATCTAGTTTACTCATATCAAATTTCAGCTAAAAATTCAATCGGGAAGGGCTCCAAACGGGCTCGGCCGGACGGTGAAATTTTTAGATGAAAAATTTATTATTATTCAATGATGTTTAATATTTTTAATTTTAATTATGATGATTTTCTATATATTTAACTTAATTTACTTTTTCTTTTGATGTTTGATCATTTATGTTCACCCGTAATCACGCGATCCAGCCGATGACCCTCTCATGATAGATGAATTGAATGTGAATGTTATTCTTAATTGATGATGAACGAATGAATGAAATATACTCCCTCCATCCCTAAAAGTTCTTTCATAGTACAATTGACACACAGATTATGAAATTGGGTATTATTTGGTGCACAGTTGTGCAGATGAAAAAGAAATGTCTAACAATGTGTAAAAATGGTTATGAATCATAAATTGTTTACCTAAAAAGAAATGTGGCTAGGGCGGGTATGAATGTACCACACCCGCTGACCCGCCTTTTTGAAGTCACGTTCTGGAAAACCGCATGAAAAAGTTTTCCATCCACATTCCAAAACGATGGATGAAACGTGGGGAGCTCACAGGAATTGCGCCTAGCGGCCAATACCTATATTATTGACACGCATGAGCTCAAGGAGGCCGCATACAATTGACCTTGAGATCTGGATATAAAGTTAAGTTCGAAACCAAAACCACGGGAGAACACTACTACAGTAGCGTAAACATTAATACTGTATCAATACATGCATATATGATATATCTATAGTCGCCTTGTTCTTAAAACTTTGACAAGTTTTACCACTACAAAGATTAATAAAATAAAAATTATGTGATTGAGATTTATGCAGAACAGAGAAAATTAATTAGAAGCACAAATTCTTTACTTAAAAGGGAAATTGACAAAATTAGTGGAACATCCAAAAAAAGGGAAGTTGACAGAAAGGGACGGATAGAGTATAATTTAAATCAGTGAGACAAATACGAATGATTATGCTCTGTTAGATTTAGATTTTCGTATGGCATTAAACAAAAAAATACATTATCCTATTCATAAATGTGTACCTATCATTTCCGGCCATTATCTTTTTTTGGATAAAATATAAATGTATTAATTGTCCAGAAAATAGCACATACAATTGCATCATCATATCCCCAATATACAAATGGCTTAATTATACTGAGTATATAAGTTGGTCTAAAATAACTACAAATAGTAACCCACCATCCCTAATCATATATGTATGTACATACCTAAGTACGCACATATATATAAATATATAGTGTCATTTTCATCAGTCGAAAATGAATTTGAACCTCATTTTTTCACCTGTAACCCTGACCATAAGGTTACTATAAGTTTATCATAAAGTCATATTTAAGCTCGAAAAGTTTTAATTTTTGTTTATGATTTTGTAATTGGGACTAATAGTTTTTAATGTAAATAATCAATATAGTGGAGTATTATTTAAACAAGCATTCCCTACTTGACTACAAATAAAATTAGGAACGATATTCGAATTGGCCAAAAAAGGCGGGTCAGCGGGTGTGGTACATACATTTCGCCAAATCATACATTGACTGTTTTAAAATATACGTAGAACAGATATCAACCAAATCAATCCTAACACTTCAAGTCAGACTTAAATAAATCAAATCAGACCGATACTAGAGCAGACTACACTAGGGGTGGGTGCGGTCCGGTTCGGTTCGAGTAATCGAAAAAAAATCAAGAACCACCGGTTCCATTTAACGGGTAGGAACCGGTCCTTACCCGCCCCGTTTGAAATGGACCGGTTCAGTTCGAGTTCTCGATTCTTTATTTTTTGTATAAAAAACCCAGCTATGCTAGCAACGTTTATAGTAAGTTGTAAAATTCTGAAATTAATTAAGTATTAATGTAACGTAAAAATTCCAAATAAAAATGTAAAACAACACTTTAAATTAGTTAACAAAATTTCTAACAACAAATCTATAAATTGAGCCGCACACAACCCCTTAAATTAAAATTTTAATCATTATTCATAAACTAAAAAGATAGCAATATAAAGTCACAAGAAATCAAACTAGTTACTATACATATTTGTCTACGAAAACAATTTAAATCATATAAATATTAAAATATAAGTAAACGTAAGAATAAAACAAATATGTCACACTTCATTAAGTAAGAGTCTTTGTTTACAATAAAATATTAAAAAAAATTTGATGCATTTGGAATAGAGAACTAAGGACAATAATTTAGGAGTTTAGATGGACTTTCAGACTCTTTTTAGTAGACTGACAAATTTCTTTAAATGAAAGTCTTTATCTACACACAAGAACATGAAGATCTTCCGTGTGTTATTATTACATTATACGGAGTATTAAATATAATAGAATTTATTAAAATAATATTTTTAAACGGTTCGGTCCGGGTACCCGTTCTTTCAAATTTTAAGACTCGTTCGGTTCCTAAGTTTTTAAGGATCCGCCCCTCCCTGAACCGTTTGAGTTTTCTCAAATTAGGATCCGACCCTAACCCGCGCTGAACCTGTATTACCCGGCCTGACCCGCGGTTCCTGTACCCGTTTGCCCACCCCTAGACTAGACCATAAATGATAAAATTATAGTCCATTTAGGCTATGTTCGGTATGCTCCTTCAGCTAATAAATGGCTGAAATATTTTCAATTCAGTCCATTATGATTAAAATAGTGCATTACTGCATCCAAAATGTTATTCTTTACTTGATATATTCAAAAATATACAAAATCATTACAATACGTAGTACAAGTATATTATTCTTTAATTTAATCAAATACCCTTTAATGTAATTTTGTATTATCCAGACACTTTTTTAGCTCCTTATGTCAAACGAATCTACTTCATTCAGTTAGTAGTTCAGATTCAGCACTTTAATATTCAGTTACAGACAATAAATTATAGTTCAGACAATAACTCCTATTCCAGACATTAGCTTTCAGTTTCAGCTGGTTGTGCCAAACATGATCTTAAAACATTCTTATAAGACAATCTGCGCATCACACAAAAACCGGACATACATTAAAGTATTAAACCCATTCATATGACTTGGTAATGTCTTTGATGCATTGCATTGGGCTTCGATTATGTCATATGATGATTCCCCTTGTTTCCTGGAAAATAAAAACCATCTAGGCATCTAGATATATAGCACACGGTAGACAACTAAATCAAAATATTAAATATGGAGCATGTACTAGTACCTTTTAAGGTATTAATTAATAAAGTATAATAAAGTGGAACGCATGCGCCATGCATAGACTTGTGGAGTCGTCCCTACGTAGTCTATAAAGACAGTGGTTTAGGGTTTGATAATAAGAAAAATAGAGATTCGAGTGATAAAGTAAGAATAAATTCAGAATGATTTATAAAAGATATAGACCACATTGTGCTATGCCTATCATGAGTTTAAATTGAAGCCAGTGTAATACGGAGTATAAAGTATTTCACATATGTAAAATACAAAAGTTTATTTAAATATATACGGAGTTACATATGTAAAATACAAAAGTTTAACTATATGACTTTTACATAAGTGAATAAATACATCCACAGTTTTTAGACCATCCAAACACAAAAGTCATAAAGTTTAAAATATATGCACGTTTTATGCCAAAATGGTCGAGTTTATATGTACTTTTCTCAAGGATATATGTGTTCTCTCTTGTATAGTTTAAGAGTACAATTATTCTAATTTTTCATTGTTGTGTTTAATTGATTAAAAAAGTTGGATATACGGAGTATTTATTATCTTAATCTGAAAAGGTGAAATCACCTATCTCGGGCGCCAAACGTAACACTCCAGTAGAATGAAGTAATACAGTATGATCTCAAACAATTTCTAAGTTTATGATATAAGGATAACTTTATAATAAAAAGTTGTCAAAATGAAAATGAAAACTTGAATTTGACCTTATATAAAAGAAGAGTGAGAATTTGAAGAAAAAACGAGTAATTTTTTTTTTTGAAATTTTAAAACTTGTTTACTGACCATTTTCCCCTTAGTTTGACAGGAAAGATCACATATTAAGTAGATGAAAAGCGAGACACAATCAGGAGCGAGATACTTGCCCTTGATACCCCTAGCTAGCTAGGTCCTCTATTGTGCACGACCAAGAAAAATATACCCGGCCGGCTAGCTTTTATCGTGGAGCCAGCGAGGTTCTTAGAAAGAAGAGCTTCCATTACCAATAACTAAATAAACAAACAAATAAATAAATAAACGGGTATTAGCCTTAGTAGGAGTAAAATAAGTTCAAAATTCAACCATAGAAGTATAATCTTTTTATTCTCAAAATAGAACTAATATATCTCTTTTTCCCATTCTATCCCCTTCCAATCATTTCCAATTGATTTATTTATAACTAATATATGTCTCTTTTTCCCATTCTACCCCCTTCCAATCATTTCCAATAGATTTATTTTATAAATAAGAAAATCATAGTTTTATTTATAATAAAAATATAAAAAATAATAAAAATATTTATAAAATAATAATGAAAACGTGAAAAAATAAAATAAAAATAAAAAAATAACAAAAAATATTCAGCTTTCTCTTGCTTTCTCTACAAAATTGCCATCATGATGACATTTTTTCTCCAACTTGACAATCTTTTCCGGCGACCGAAGGTGGCGGTGGTGGAAAGTGGGTGAGGTGGTGGTTGGGGTCTATATATTTTTTAATTATTTTTTACGATTTTTATTTTTTTATATTTTATAATGATTGTTTAAAAATCATATTATCAAGGACAAAGGAAAAGGTAGAATAGGAAGAGTTAGTCCTATTTTGAGAATTTAAACTTTAAACTCTTCTTGCAATTATCATTTTATTTACTACTCTCATAAATCTCCCATAAATAAATGAATCCGCCTTGAATTGCACCAATAATATATTGATGATACGGTCTGGTCTTCACATGCACGCACCAGTGGATGAGACAACCTTCGATCTCAACTAATCATATTTTATAGACCACGAGATCACAAAAAGAAACACAAAAATAGTAAAGAGAATCTCCTTTATTTAGGAAATTATTACTCCGTATATATTTTGTCAAATCAATCAACTACCAGGGCGTCATTAGTTAATACGGAGTAATACATTAAACAACAAATAATAGTTTAGGAAATTAATAATAATAACAATTTCCTAATAATAATAATTAGAAGCTAGTAAATTGAATTAATTATTAGGAGCTATGCTATACTACTAGCTAGGCAGGTGAAAATTTCTGAAAGCGGAGAAGCCTATTATCAGCGAGGCGAGTGTTATAGGCAGATTTTTTGTAGTCGGACCAGGTAAACTCCTGGTACAAACTGTCTTCATCCCCTTCCATCAGTGATGGTAATGGAGCGATCCTTTCACTCAAGGGTGGCCCTCCGAAATAAATCATTGACAGCCTTGATTTTGCACTATTTGCCAAAACCCTATGCCTCACGCTCTTAAACCTCCCGTTTGTCATCACCTACAAATCAAAACGGAACACCCCATCACATATATACACATTAACGCTCGTCCCATAAAACTTAGCCAATATATGTTGACTTGCACGTAGATTAAAAAAATAAAAAACTGTATGATTGATATTTCTGCAGAGAAGAGAGAAATAACTTTAGCCACATATTTGTTACTTTAAATAGAAATGACAAAGTTTTTTGGGACGTCTAAAAAAGGAAAGTTGGGCAAGTTTTATGAGGTGGAAGTAGTATGAAAAATGTAACAATATATACTAAAGAAATTCAAAAATATAATGCTGATTTTTGCTTCACCTCACTATAGCTTATCCTCCCCTCATTAGGTAGGGGTCTGACTAGTTAAGCATCACGTTGAAATTTACATTACTCGTATACTCTACTTCAATTATATTTTATTCATTAATGTATTAATTTTTTAAAGTACTCGGTTAATTTAATTTTTATATTGTTTTACTAATATCTAGTTACATATATAAATAGTAAAAATTGTGACCATCAAACGTGAAAATGAAAAGTGTTACTTCAATCTTGGATTCACATATAAAGAGACAATTTCGATTTAAATGGTTGGTAGAATCATAGCATGAAAAGGAGTACCTAGTACCACTTTGTAACGGGTCATATGAGTCATAATTATCCATATATGGAGAATATAATTAAGATTAAGATGGGTGGATAAAAATGCACTATAAACAGTTGTGTCTTATTACTTTGATAATCCTTGACTCCTTGTGTACAAATCTAAATAATTATCGATAACTATGTAGATTTACTTTAGTGAAGAATCAATTAAAGTAAATATTGTACAAATCACTTTTCGAATAATGCCATCGCAATCCATACTGTCAACCAGCTTTTTATAAGGTTCCGGTCTGCTTCTAAGGCATAGACTAGGATGCAGCACCTAATTGGACTTTGGCAACGCTTGTGAGCCTAGATGGGATAGGGGGATCAGACTTGATTCAGATAAAATCAATGTCATTCAAAGAGGTGTAACGTCTGAATGGAGATTTTTTTAGAATAATGGTTCTAACTAAACGAATTCCACTTGTTTTAGGCAAGTATCATTATCAAATTTGGGAGATTAGAGGACGACTATAAAGGATTTTAAATTATTGAGTTAGCATTTTAGTTTTATGATGAAATTCATAATGATGAAATATTCCGTGTAGCTACCTGTTTAAGGTTAATCTGGTTAGGTAGATAGTTAATTGGGTTATACGAAGTATCTTTTTTTTTTTGTTTGTATCTATTTTACTACTGCACTTCATATAAGTCTGATTTGATCGCATATGTTTATATCTAATTTGGTCTGAGAATGAAATTTCAAACATGTGTCAATATGTTTAAATCTAATTAAATCTAATTAAATCTAATTTGGTCTGAGAATGAAATTTCAAATATGTGCCAATGAAAACGTCCTTGAAATCACCTCCGATCCTAAAAAAGTGTAGTAGAAAGTCAATATTTAAATAGAAGATTTTATTTAAGTTTTGTATATCCACATTCTCTATTTCACTTCAAATAGATCGATATCATTCGAAACAATACAACCAAACACGAATCGAATGGTATTGAAGAGGATTTTGATATGATTCAATTCGATTCAATGTGATTAGATCCAGTCAAATTGAACTAATCTGCACATAATGAATAGAATCATTATTACGAGTATGTTTTATTACTATGATTTAAGTAAAACATAGATAAACATAATGAATAGAATCATATTGTTGTCCTAAATTAAGACTCATTTACTTCCATTTGGACAAGTTTTATACTCCTTCTATCCCATTAAATTATTCTCATTTATCACTTTGGGATGTCTTTTTGTAAAGTTTTTGTATGACTAACATTGGTTTATCTTTTTATTACTCAATCATAATCATATTTTTTCATTTTATTGTTACTTTCTTAGTAAACGTGCAAAGTCAAACCGGGAAGTGTTTTTTTTGGGACGAAGGAGGTACTTTTGTAGAAGTAAATAAATCTTACGGAGTATATATATAAAAGAACATAAACGTAACTATGTGTCTGTGTCAATTTGTTTGTGTTTTATTTCAACTTGAAACAATCCTTTAGAGGAAAATGGATGCTTACAACTTTTTAGTTGGAAAAAATGAAATTAAAGGAAAGAAAGAATGAAAGAGGTGGAGTAGTTGATATACTTGATTTAATACTCCATCCGTGTCGCTAAGATTGTCCTATTTTATCTTTTCGGAAAGTTCTACTAAGATTGTCTCATACCAAATTTGGTAAAGATTGTGTAAAGATTGTGTGACTTTAAATCATTCTTAATTTATTCTTACTTTATCAATTTAATATTGAACACACAAATTCACTTTTCTTAATAATCGTGTCACTTTCTCTCGTCTCGAACTTAGGTAGTATTCATATATACCTGGAGAGAATCGCCTACGTTGACAAAGAAGGAAGTGTGATCGGGTGGGACGGAGAACCAGGTGCCATCTTTGAGAGCGATTTGAAGGCCCGAAGTGTTGTTGGATCGGAGAACAGAAATGATCTGTGGGTCTGTGTGCTCGCCGAACCCAATCATGCGGTCCCTGTCGATGTCTCGGAAGTCGTCAGGTGGGCTGCTGCAGGCCCGGCCCGGGTAGTGATTCAGCCTGAACACCGAGTCGCTCGCCTCATCCATCACCAGCCGGCTCAACGCATTCTTCGCCGAGATCTTCAGCCCCTCCGCCATCAATTCCAGAACCTCACACGCCATTTTCTTCACCGCTCTCACATAATCATTCACCGCCGCCCTGTTTTCATTTTTTTAATTTATATAAACATAAACGAGTATTAGATTTGTGCTTAATACAAATATTACCTATTTTTGGTTAACTTTTTCATTAAAAACCTAAAACTTGATTATATATTGAAGTTACTTTTCAATACTGCTGAAATAAATAAATAGGACTATTTAGCTATTTTCTATGGAGTATAATTTCTTTATTTTTATGGAGTATAATTTCTTACGAAATATTTATTAATAAAATATATTTCTAATATTTTTTCTTACAATTTAGCCAATTTAATTGCTTCACTCGAAATTTTACATATTTCACTGGATTCTTTAAACTTTAATATTACTAAACGGAATATTCACAATTTAATAGAAGCATTCTACTTCTTTTTTAAAAGTAGAAGCATCCTACTTCTTTTTTGAAATTGGTTTCTAAAAGCTTCTCAATAACTACTTCTACGTGAAGCACCTAAAAACACTTTCACACTTTTATCATTCTCTCCGATATTTGGTTCTCCTTGAAGGTGTAGAAAGAGCTTTAAAAAATACTCTCTCTGGTCCCAAATGACATTACACTTTGCCTTCACACAAATTAATGAAATAAATTCGACTTTACTGTAGAGTACACTATTTGACACTGTTTGACACTGTTTTGCACTGTTTTGATGTAGATAATTTGCCAAATAAGGAAGGGAGAAGAAGTGTGAAGTTTATTTTGGACCTACCCAAAAAGGAATGTGTGAATTTCATTTGGGACCGGAGGGAGTACATCCAAACACTTCTATCACATGAAGTACTACGTATTTTAAAAAATTTGCAACATAATGAAGGCTATTTTAATACTCCCATAATGAGCGGGAAAATGAAGGCTATTTTAATACTCTCTCTTTCCTCCTATTATTGTCACGGTTTCTATTCACTTGGTCAACACAAATCGCGATCAATCTCTTATTTTATGTATCAAATTTTTATCAAACTTGTTTCTGATTTTTTTTGACTTTGTAAAACTTTTAACGTGGTTTCTGAATATGGAATTTTTTTCCTAAAAATAATTTGAGTGCGAAAGGGGATCCTTTTACTTTATCCTTTTACTTTTACATAATGAGGCTATTTTAATACTCCCATAATGAGCGGGAAAATGAAGGCTATTTTAATACTCTCTCTTTCCTCCTATTTGATGGAGGCAGTACTACTTAAAGTTATGTACTTCATATTAATTTAGCAATTACTAGTATGATTACATATCTTCAAGAAATAAAAGTAATTAGCCATTATCAAACTAATTAATACTTCCTCCGTTCCATAAAAGTTGCAATATTGGAATTTCTGCATTATTCACACACCTTACTTTGACTACGATTTTCCAATACGAAGTAATATATAATAAAAATATTATGTAAAATATTAATAAATTTGTATTAATGTAAATTTCCAATATATTAACTTTTTTTAATGTTTACTAATACGTAAATAAATATAATTACGGTCAAAGTTGCGCGTTGACAAACGTGAAAGTCAAATTGTTACAACTTTTATGGAACGACGGATAGTAATACGGAGTAGCATATTAAATTCTTTTTAGTTACAATTTTTTGAATGTTTATTATGACGGAGAGGTTGTGGGTTCAATCCCTGGTACCAACTTCTTTTTTTATATAAGGAGTATTTTGAGAAACACTTAAATGGGATGACATCAGCATGTGACGTGGGAGTAAGTGACATGGCACCTCTCATTTGATAATTAAGTTTAAAAGTATCATATTCCGAGAAAGATTATGAAATACCCCTCTCAGGAAAAAACTCGTAAAAATGACAAAAACGTTTATAGTTTGATTGAATATTAGCAAATACCCATTGTGGTCAAAGTGGAATAAATAAATAGTCAAATCATTAACTAAAAATAAATCATAAATACACCGTAAATATCTTACAATCATGAAATTGAACACGTGAACCATACGTTTTTTGATTATTTAGCACTTTATTCGTCTCACAATTAAAGTTTCAATTTAATTTTATGGTCTCTATGTAGACATTTGATCATAATTATTTATACATATATACTTATATATGAACTATGATAAATTAAATTCGAACAATACGTATTAAAATAAATAATTTCGTGTGATAAAGTATTACGTGTATTAATTTTGAGCAATTAAGAGACGGAAGAAGAATTTAAAAGTTCAATCATTATTAGCCTCGGATATGTTTCAACAAGTATATGACTATTTTCTTAAAACACGTCAACTTCAAATATCCATTTTAGTCAAATACTCAAATGTGTTAGAACTTGACATATCACGTAACTTTAAGCCAAATAATTTATGGTATACAATAAAATAATATAAAATTGTTTCTATTAAACATATTTAGTCTTTTATATTCGGAGTATAAAAAACTTTAAAAGTATTACGGAGTACCATTTTATTCTTTCAAGCTTCAAGTATTTTGGTCAAACAGAAAAATTGTCATAAATAGTCAAAGTTGACAAACGTACAAGGAGAAAGGAGTACATATAAAACTTACTTGAATTTCTCTGGAGTTAAACCCATAATTGATGAGAACTTTCTGTAATCAAATTCTGGGTTTCTGGTGGATAGCAGAATGTATTCTACGCACCCAATATCGCCATTTCCTCCGATCTTCTTATTCCCATACCCGAATGGGTCAGGCGGCCCTGCTCTTTCTTTCTGAGAAGCCGGGGAGGAGAAGAACTTGATGGCCTCTGCTTCAAGCCTGGTTATGAATTCCGCGGGAACTCCATGGTTGACCACCTTAAAGAACCCGAACTCCTCGCAGGCTTTTACGAGGAGGTGTTTGGCGGCTGCCGGTTTGGAGAGGTCTATGGAAGGGACAAAGAATGTTTTGCAGGGCTTGGCAATGGAGAGCTGCTGGGTGGCGGGGTTGGCTAGGACTACCATGGCCGGTTGCTCAAGAAGCTGGTAGCGACCGAGCTAGCTGAGTATTTATTGGAGAAAGGATCGGTTTCTTCGGTGGGTTTTATAGGTGACCGATGAAGGAAGGCGGTTTGTTGTTGGGACGTTTTGATAATAATATCATGCTAGTAATTAATATTTTAATATAATTATTAATTAGGTTGTTTTTTAATTTTTAATTGATAGTGTCTGGTTTGATATGATTTTATCGCATAGGTTTTGGTGTGATATAAATATAGTGGAAATTGAAATGAATCAAATTAAAACATTCAAATTAAATACTCCGTAACTCTGAGTCCGTTTGGTAACACTAAAATTGGCTGAATTGACTGATTCTACTGAAATTTATGAAGTTCTGACTGAAGTGACTGTATTGTCTGATTCTGCTAATTCATGAAAAAATTATATTTAAAATATCTATTATTATTAAATTAAATAAAAAATTATATGAAAAAATAGCTAAAATGATCTTCTACAGTAACTTCAGCCAAAACAACCAAAAAAGTAACTTCAACCTTACTTTTTCTGCTTATTACAAACTTCAGCGCGCGAAATCAAAAATTACGTGTTTAGTGAAAAAGTTGGCTGATAAGCCTAATAAGTCGTAAAAAAGGTTACCAAACGAGCTATCTAACTTTTATATAGTTAGTATGACTTTATCAAACTTGGCTGGAACATGAAAATGTGGAATAGTAAATAATAAATTACTACTTCTGTCTTTGACACGAAAAGAAATGGTGTGGTAAATTATGAAAAGTGAAATTGTGCGGTTGTAACTAAATGGATTAAGTATAAATAAAATAAGAATATATTGTAACAACTCAATGGAGTGAGATTTAGTCCTGATTACTCCAGGCCCTCAAATCCTCCTCCTCCAGACCCCTGGAGTAAAAAATAATAATAAAAAAATTGAACGGGCGGAAAAGGTAAAATCAGAAATGGGAAATGGAAGTATAAGTTTAAGATTTGTCTACTTGAGAAAGTAATACTACCTCCGTGGCATTAGCAATGAGACAGAAAGAAGTGATACCGACATGCGGTTATTAAGAATGTAAAATTATATGATTGATGTTGAATTGATAAAGCAAAAATAAAGTACGAATGATTTAGAACACACAAATTTTACCACATTTAGTACGTATCAGATAATCTTAATGGATGGAGAAGTACTCCACAGTAAGAATCGCAAATTGATATTCTCTATGTCCCTTAAAATTTTGCAATTTTCCTTTTTTGGATGTCCACTAACGTTGTCATTTTCTTTTTTAATCAAACAATTTATGGTTTCAGTTAATTCTCTCTCCTCCGCACAAATCTCAATCATATCATTTTTACTTTATTAATTCTCTCGATACTTTTCAAAAAACTGTAAGAAAGTTTGCACTGTGGGTATGGACGGAGTACATGTATGTACACGTTGGGTACTAGGAAGAGGTGGAGAATAAGGTTGCTACTTTCTAGTTTTGCACACTTGTAAGTCTTGTACTGACTATCTATTTCAAAGCACTTTCTTTTTTCTCACGTTTAGAAAATGATGAAAAATGCTACTAGTTTTTCTTTCATTCTTTCCTTGATGCTTCGTAGTAACTGTTACCTTTTTTTGAAGGGATGTTACTCACCTTTTTAATAAACCTTTTACTACGTAACTTTTGAAATCAGATGGATTAAGTGGGTTTGGTTGGTGTACATAGTTTAATTAGGTGTATTTATAAATTTGTTTTAGTTCTCTAGATAAGTTATACTACCTCCGTCTCGAAAAGGTTCACCATATTGCTTTTTTTTTTTGTCAACGATGACAAATTTTGGATAATGATTTTAACTATGATATTTGTATATAACTTATAAATTTTATACTTTATGAAAATATTTTGAATAAGGAACATTTTCATATAATTTTTATATTCAAAATAATTTCGTATTAAGAAATAACATTAATCAAAGTTGATTGTCATTGACCAAGCCGCCCTCCTGAGTATGCTTTTCTGGACTTCACCAGCCTCTTGGATAATGTCATACGGGCAAATGGTGTATTCTATTTTATGTTGGAAACGGGCTGCAACTTAGATTTAATTGCAAAAATACTCGGTTGTACCAACCACACGGTACAGCCAAGTTGTACGATATAATTTACCCATTCACATATGCTCTTCTTTTTTATTATGTTACCATTTCAATTTCCTCGATTCACATCGATGACAACAAAATTATTAAGGTTATCAATTCTCATTGTATCGAATATTGGAGGGTTATCTACACTGTATCCCTAATCCGAAAGAGCCATTAAAAACCAACAAATCGTGTAGACAAGTATATTTGCGACGAGGATAGCATTCAATTTAATCATTTTCTAAACATCCTTAAATTTGATGTCATTGGATCAATTCGTTTATGTTACGTTCTAGTTATCTTTTTCTTCCTTGCATATGCACCTAGAGGCCAGGTTTAACGCACTCCTCCAGTCCTCTCCCTTTATGTCTAATAACATACTCCTCCATCCCGAAAAAGGTTCGTCAAATTCAATGATAATTAACTTTAACTAATGATATTTCTTAATACGAAATTATTTAGAATATGAAAATTATATCAAAATGTTCATCATTCAAAACATTTTCATAAAAGTATAAAATTTAAAAATTATATACAAATATAATAATTAAAATCATCGTCCAATGTTTGCCATCATTGACCAAGAAATGTCAACATGGCAAACCTTTTCGGGAGGTAATATTTAAATACAACAAAGCTATAATTGTTTGTTCATGTGAATACTCGAAGCTTTTTAAATAAAAAGTCAAAAGTCCTAATATAGGCATAAAATTGATTTATTATACTTCAAAATGTTTTTTGTTTGACATCCTAAACTGTCATTTTGTGGCGATGAAAATACTTGAAAGTGGATTTTGGTGGCCAAGTCTTTTTCGTGATGCAAGTGGCTTTTGTCGATCTTGTGACAACTGCCAAAGAGCGGGAAACATTTCAAGGAGAAACGAGATGCCACAAAACCTCATGCTTTTCTGTAAGATTTTCGATGCATGGGGTATTGCCTTCATGGAGCCTTTCCCAAACTCTCAAAGTAATATCTACATCCTCCTTGCGGTGGATTACGTGTCTAAATGGATGGAAGCTAAAGCCACAAAAACTGATGATGCAAAGGTGGTTGCAAGTTTTCTTAAGTCACACATATTTTCTAGGTTTGGGTCCCCCGAATTTCGATAAGCGATTGATGTGAGTTTTCTCGCACTTAAAATAGATCGTAGAATAGTGGTGTAAGTACGAGTATCGTCTCCACAGGGACGGTAAAAGGGAATCAGGAATCAATTAAATTCAGCGATTAAAAAGAAATAAAATAAAATAAATTGTGCGTGATTTGATTGATTGGAAAATTAAATTGCAAAAAAAAGAAATTAAACTAATGGGTTCTTTCTAATTAATGACGGTAGGGAAGAGGGATTGATTCCGGAGTAATCAGATTTTTAGTAGATCAGGCTTAATTACATGAAATTAATTTAATTGAGCCTAGCTAATCATTACTAAGTTCTTACCGCTCTCGCGGCATAGAGTACAATAATTCAGGGGACCAGGCTGATCTCTCATGCGACAAGATCCTAAATTATTGCCAAAACGAGCGAGCTTACGGCCCCTTAATCGCTATTAATCTATGAGTGAATGATTAAGTGTGTGTGAAGGTGTCCTAGAATAAATTAGATCTCTCTTAATTTATTCTACCAGCAATTGTAATTCTAGTCGCGATTCTAGGTTACAAGAGATATCGATTAAATCGTTCATACACAAATTAAATAAAGATTCATGCAATTTAAACCATCAAGATCCTAGCCATACATCAGGAATAACCCCTTCATCAATCCCAATCCCTAATTACAACTACTCACAACTCATAATTGAATAATCAATAGAATTGGGAAGATAGAAATAATTGTCATTAATTAGAAAGTAGGAAATTACAAATAAAAATTCAAAGAATTGAAGAACAAGGCTTGAAAGCTCTCAAAATTTCGTGTTAGGTCTTCTCTCTAAGTTCCATTTTCAAAACAGAGGTTTGCATGATGTTTAAATAGGAAAAACGGAGCAATTCGAGCAAAATTGGGACTCCGGGAGGCACGCAAGGCACCATGCACGACGTGCATGGTGTCCGTGCGTCCGGAATATCTACGCGCATTAAAACGTGCCACACAAGCATGCGTCCCCCCACGCACGGCCGTGCGTGGCTGCCAGTGGGTTTTCCGGTTTGTCGCCTAGAACGCACGATCGTGCGTTCCCCTACGCACGGCGTGCGACAAACTTTCGAATTTGACTTTGCTTCCTTCATGAAAGTTGTAGATAATGAAGTCCTCTATCCACCACAACTTGCTGAAATGGAATTAAATCATCCAATCAAGAGATATGAATAAAATGATGGAAGGTCTGATTCTGAAATCGCAATAGGGATCATCTGACTTCATCGTCTGTTTTCACCTTCTTGCTCTTAGATTCTCGCAATTGTGTCTTCATATGATTTGTAGCCCTTGAAGTTGGATTTCAGATGCAACTTGAATCGTGTGCTTTGGATTCTTTTACAAAGATATATGCTTGAACGATTGACAGAAGGTCATCCTGAACATCGTTTTCAAGCTCTATTTGTCTTCTTTTGATCCCGTAGCCAATGCTAGAGTTCTTTTGTCATCAAATCTTCATCGTCAACATCCTGGTGACTTCCCAATCTCTCAATTCACTCTTGAATGCTTCTCAAATCTTCCTAATTGCTTCTCAAGCGCCGGTGTTGGGCTCAAATTCCCTGATTTTGACTCCAAAAAACATAAAACTCGAACCAACGCTTCGTAACATAACTTGAGCTAAAATAGAGACTTGTATCACCTTAAAGCTAGGAAAACCATCACAAGTCGATCCCAACACGCATCAAATGCGTGTCTAAATACGGACTTATCAGCTGTAGAGGTACACATTTTTGTAATAAAATTGTGGGATCCCTACTAAAAAAATATGGTGTGACTCACAAGATCTCTACAGCCTACAACCCTCAAACAAACGGCTAGGCAGAAATCTCCAACCGAGAATTGAAGTTCATACTCCAGAAAACAGTGAA